CTGATGATAGGAGAAAATTCCAAATGCCAATAATGCTATTTGGGTGGGAGTAAACAATTATAGGGTTTGCTTTGGATTTTCCTTTTGTTTCATGTAATTATTTTCCATTTACTCCTTTAAACTATTGAGATTTTGAAGGCAAAATCTCAGTAATTTCCTTTTCTGTCATACCCAGCAAGACAGTAGGAAAATATATCATATTTTTAGGATAAAGGATAACAACAGCTGGTGTCAGGCTAGTAAGTGAACCACATGTTAAAAGCTCTGCTGCATTGCCAAAGACAAAACTCATCCACTTTATGGTATGTCTCCTACACACAAGTCAGAGTGCAAATTCCCCACTCATATGTGGGGAAATAGGCTGGCATTTGCATAGGGGGAAGCACGTATGGAAATTTGCAGTATGGACTAGCAGAACATGCTAAAAACAAATGCCCAGTTGCAGTAAAAATGTAGATGACCTAGGTGACCCTGGTCCTAGTTTTGTTGAAACTATCAGGTCAGGCAATACTTCTACCACTCCTTTTGCACCTTCTACCACACCTTTAGCTTCAAGTGGGAAATGTCACCAGCACCTCCAAGTATATAAAAAACCCTTGCCTGTTTCTGCTTCTGGCAGCTTCTTTAGTCTGCACAGATGGGGCACTTCTCTCTGAAAAATCATGCCATAAATTGCACAGACAGTCAGCTGTTGTGATTCTGTCCTTGCTGCCCATTTCCCACTCCCTTTCTGCTGGAGAAGATTCCCCTTTTCTGAAATATTGTAAAGAAACTTCTCTATTTCTAGTGAAAATTAGAAACAATTCTTTAACTCTTTTTTCTGTGGCTATTTAACAACCTCCTTTAGCAAAGTTTACTAAATAGCAATGCTGTCTTGGCCACATCCAATCATTCAAAACTTTGGAAAGAGGCTGTTCCAGGAAGTCAGTCCCACTACAAGGGACCCAGGTATTCAGTGTCCCTTGGAGGAAGTGCAAACCCAAAAGATGCCTGCTTCGTCGAAGAACATGGCTGTCAGTTGAGTGTTTCCTCATAATCAATATGTGCACGTGCAGACTTATGTTCTAAGACTCTCCACGGGCTTTGGTTCTTTCACTGTAGCTGAAAACCTCCTCCACGAGGTTTGTGTGGTCTTTGTTTCTCTCTCTGTGTGTTTGGTAGTGTGTAGTCACACACTGATAATAAGGGGGAAGAGAATAAATCTTTGCATGATTTAATAACTCACTCAGATTTGCAGCAAGGAGAGGAATGGATGTGTGGCTCCCAGGAGAGTCCAGAGACCAGAAACACTGCCAGAGCCTACATGGTTAGAGGCTGGACTTACCTTCTCTGTGCCCAAATATAACTGCTCTTGGAGCGTGCTCCAGAGGAGCTCGGAGGCACCAGTACACGTTCCTGGCCCTTCCAAACACAAGCTTAGGAGTGATGAAATTTTCTGTTTCACTCCAGTCTGGTTCTGGAGACTTTGCTTCTTACTTTGTTCTCTCATTTGAGTCTGTAGATTTAGTACAACTGGGAATTCTGGATTATCTTTCTCCTGACCTTGCATGTTATGTAATAGTGCCTGCACTTCTACAACCTTTCTATGGCTTGTTGTAGTTATACATATATTTTAGTATCTCTTTCTTTGCTACATTCTTAGGTTGACAAATTAATTGTCTTTTTCAGAGTTATATATGCAACGCTTGCTTGAAAAAATGTCTTCTGTGCTTTTGAAGAGACAGTTAATATCAGAAATAAGTGAACACTCTTTTCTTGTCCTTCAAAAGGCAATTGGAAAATTGTATGAAACTCCTTTATTGCTCACACTTTGAAGTTCCCAAAAAGATGGTTTCATTTTCATGTTGGTGAACTTTAGGAACAATATCCTGACCAAACATTAAGTAACAGAGACACTCCAGGTTAGAGGTTTTTTTTTCCTTTCCATTCCATGTGACAGAAGCTTCTATTGCATCCAAAATTTTGGCTAATTAACTTGTATTCATGGTCAGAAAAAAAAAAAAAAAGCAGAACAGAATAAAAAACTTCCTGAGGAACCTGCAAAGGGTTTTAAACAAATGAGGACCTGTTTTATCATTTTAGTTTGTTTTCGTGATAGGTGATTTCAAAGGAAAAATAGGAGTTCCAGGTAGAAAATTCAGACAAAATAGATGTATCTAATAAAGTTACTGAGTCTTTGCAATTTTTTTAAGTTGGTAGTATTCACAGCTCATATGCTTTTTAATTATTTCTCTGTGTGATATTTGTGTTTTCTGCTGGATTGATGTTGTGATAAAAGGGTTTTGTGAAATTGGTTATGTTTCTTCATCCCAGAAAATAGATGTTCTCTTCAATGCCTTTTCAAAACTGCAGCAAACATGCTAATCTATAAAGGTCCATTAGTCCTGCAAATACTATATTAAATTCTAGACTAAAATTTTTAAGAATATTTCATCCATATTTCATCTGTACTGAAACCAAATGTCAAATGTGCTTAGTATGCTTACAGATCTCACAGTAAATGGCTTGAACAGCTCTATTTTCAAACTTGGAGGGTTTAGAGCATATGTTTTTCAACTTCAGATGGGTTTTATTTAATCTGGTGCTAAGGTGAAGTATCATGCACAAGCATTAATGTTATGATTTACTGTAACCAATTAAATCTATTTCATCATCTTATATATTTCCATTGTAGATTGGGTGCCTAGTTTCCTTTATAGCTCAGCTTTCAAGCATCTTGAAGTAGTGACAAGGCTAAACTACTTGCATGTTTTAAAAACAGGAAATTCACAAACTTTAAATACAATTTTTTATTTATTTTTATGATTATTTGTCTAGATTGAGGAATGGACTTCGAAAATGAGACTGGAAAAGACCTGCCCTTAAGACCAATAAGGGTTCATTCTTTACCTAGCATGAAGAAACTTACACTGACTATTTGGCAATCTATATTTTTTAGCAGGTTTATTTCCTTCAAGTTTGTCTGTGAGAAAATTCCAGCAAAGTAAATTATATAATCTATCTGAAACTACAAAGCTAGTGAGAAGTGTTTTATCCAGTTTCACTTGCCATGATTAAATTCGAGTTCAAATAAGATGCAAGATGTGAAATGGATATGTAGTATTAGAGATTTTTTCAATACATTTTGGTGCGTTTATTTATAATAAAAGTATTTATGTGCATTGCAAACCCCTTAATACAAAGTCTGCAAAGGGGACCGTTTAAGTCAGATCAGCACTTGTCCTCCTCATCTCATCTCATCTCATCTCATCTCAAAATATGTAGTCAGAGGCAGTTCAGTATCCCTAGAAATTTTCATTATGCATTCATAAGTGAAAGAACAATAGAGCTTGGCAGTCTTGGCATTAACATTCTTGGTTTAAAACAAGTCAGAGAGACTCATCACTGGAGCCAATTTCATTGTTGAACATTTCCGTATGTTAATAACAGGAGTAATGGGAAGGCTTATATTGTTATGTGTAAAAAGTAAAATAAAAAATAAATGGAAAATAACACTGAATTTATGCTTTTTCTTCCCATAGAATGATAATACCTCTTTGCATGGTTCTAAGGTAAAAATGTTTTCTATCCAATGATTGTTTTCTCTTGTGACTCACAAAGAGAAAGTATGGAGGCTGTTAAGGAAAAACTGCAGGTCTATTAAATTTACATTCATACCAACGTCAGTATTAAAGACTTTGGGGCTCGTTTCTCATTTGCTACAATGCAAATATATTCCATATTTTACGAACACTTCAAGGCTATTTTCTACTGCCAGAACTGTGAAAAGTGCCCAGAGGGTAAACAAGAATCAACAATTAGCCTGTAGCCAAAGCCTCCAGCCTCCAGCCTGCATTAGGACTGTTGAGAAAATGTCTGTAACAAGTCCTCAAGATCACTGTCTTTTCAATGTATTATTCAAAACTTGTATTACCATCAAATCAACAGGGAAAGAATGGCTGTTTGAGAGTTAAAGTGCCAGTGCCTGCACCTCCTTTTCCATATTTGTAGGTAGCTTTCTAAGTTTTTGAAAGAGTCCTAGCAGACTTTCTCATAATCTGTTTTATTATCCCACTGTACTTGGCTGATAGCTTGTTCAAGTGACTGATAAGCCACTCAAGTCAGAGCGGGTGGTTTCTGACAGTAGGTTCTGCCATTTCCTGTACTTGCTGCAACTGAAGACAGAGTGCTTTGGTAACAAAAACTTGGGCAATTCTAAGGTTAATGATTAAGTGAGCCTAGGCCCACCAGAAATATATTTTCTGTACCAAATATATCCTCCATTATTCTTGGATGATGCTTTTACCATTTAGAGTCTCCTAGAGCAGCAGAGTTCTAGAGCCCTCTTTTTCAATGTGACACTCAGGTCTGTCCATCCGTGATTCTTCAAATTCAGATTGAGCATCAGTAGCCAACAGAAGGTGTTGTGCTTCCCTCCTGGGAAGAGTTATAAAGAAAACAGGCAGACACTGGCTTGCCCAGCAATTTGCCCTTGGTTCTGCACCCAACCCAAATAGCCTCTCTCTGGGGTTATCCTGTATTTCGGAAAACACAGAGATTCAAAATCACCTGTCCCAGAGAATAGCTGGGTTGGAAAAGAGATGCCTAGTACCTTTACATGTGGTCACTGAAGATGGCATTTTAGCACTTGGGACTGGTAATGTTTGGTCATAGCAAGGATTAAAAGATTTAAAAACTACCCAATACAAAGAGAAATAAAGGGGTTAGGGGATGGATTTTCTGTTTGTTTGTTTAGGGTTTTCTGTTGTGGTTTTTTGTTTGTTTGCTTTCTGGTGGGATTTTGTTGGGGGTTTTTTTGGATTTTTATTGAGAAATTAAAATAATTTTTTTAAAAATTAGGGTTAGAACATGCAGGTCTTACTTCAACAAGTACCTTAAGAAAAGAAAATTATAATTCAGCACAAAAAACACATGTTCATTTCGCAGTCAAACCTCCCAAACAATAAAAGGTATAGATCTTGACCAAATAATTGCAGTGATATGTTCTGGAAATTCTCTAGTTCCTGGAAAATCCTGAATGTTTTGAAAGAAAGTCGCAGAAAATAGAGGACAACTCTGAACCCCTCATGTCTCCAAACCAACTGTTTCCTCCTTCTCTCCTACTCATTTCATATTTCCCACATGAGAGATGGAAACTCTACAAGTGAGTATTAAACCACAATTTAGAGACTGAGGTAGCAAATAAGTAAAAGGGACTACATTCCTGTCATTTTCTGTTGCTGTGATCCTTCTCTTCAAGACTGCATCACATGCGATGCAGAATATACCAGATAGGGCCCTTGTGAGAATAAAGGCATTGAATATTGCAAAGTGGTGCAATGGGAGCCATATATAAATGCTAAGATAAATACAGATTTGATAAATTACTAGCAAAGGCACTGGAGGGAACAATACAAGATGATGCAGTCGGGCTTTTTCATCTCACTCTCATGACCCTTAGAGAAGGCATGGCTTTCCAGAACCCTGCACCTGAGGCAAGATATTTTAGTCATTTTATACGTAATTACCCCTTGAGACCTCTCAGATGCTCAGATAATAAAATGTAGCTGTAGGTCTTCAACTGTGCTGATATACGGATGTCCATTTCAGAATAGGAAAAGATGCCATATGTCAACATTTCTTAGCTCTGATTGCCAGTGCTAATATGTGTGAATGTACTGAGAAAGTATGGTTTCTTTAAAAATTTAACTTAGCTGCAGCTTGTGCCCAGCACTGCAAGGGTTTAATCCTAAGGCTTCCCACACGATGGTAGGGAGACATGCAAGTTGTTGAGATCTGCACTGAAGACAGCTCCTATCCAGCTGCAGATTTGTCCCAGCTGTCTGCACTGAGCAGCCATTTACCTTAGCTCTATGTATACTAGCAGCTAAAATCTAATTTAAACGGAAACATTTCAGTCAGTTAGTGAAAGGACAATAGTCGTCTTTGCTCCTGACATTCATGTTTCTCAGAGCTGTTAAGCAAAGTGATAATTTGCTGCAGAGGAAGTATACTAGACAGAAGACGTTTTTACAAGAATATGTTTATTGAGGAATACCTGTATAAAAAATGTTTTTTCTTGCATCACTTTTTCTGATAGAAATATTACTTACACTAAAATCCTATTAAAAAGTTGTTTAATTTAATAACATTCATTGTATTAGTTCCCCCTAAAGTAATCACTTTGTTGAGAAAACACTCTCTGTTCCTTTATTTGATCTGGGAATAAAAATATCTTGTCTTTACTTCAGTATCTCCTTTTTATTTTTTTTTCCAGAATAAATAAACATGAAGCTGTCACTGCAGAGCAGGCACTGCCTCTCCTGTTATAAACCTTTTGATTTCTGTATTGAGAGAATTTTTTTGCACAATGATTCTTTTAGAATATGCTTGAAGTACTACATTTTCTTACTTTCTTGTTTCTCATGTAGAAACATGAGTAATCACAGAGACTTTTTGCTGTCCCAGTAGATTATATTGTTCTATCAGGTTTTATGTCCTTCTCATAGACCTGGTCAGGTTATTTATCATGAAAAAATGATTTAATGTATTAGGCAGTAATTTTAGTATAATTGTTAATATAGCAACCAAAGCCAGTTGTAAGATTTGAGCCCTTTTATACCAGTAAAACACACTGCAGTCCTCTGTTCCATAAAGTCTTAGTTAAAGGGCTTGACTTATGCACTCTTCACCCACATGGCTATCATTAGCTGCTAAATTTTTGTTGTGTGGCCAGGCCCTGAGTTGCCTCCTATACCTTGGTACAAACTGCCACATTTACCAAGGAGCTGCAATGTCTTCTGCGTAAATATTGGAGATCTTGGTCTCTAGAATGTGGTGGCTTCTTGGCAGTACTAGCCAAAAGACCACAAGTCAAAAAGAAAAATAAAATAAATCCATAAATAAATCCAAAAACTGTGGAGAAACTGGATCTGTCATAGACAGATTATTGTTATCTCTTCTAGAGCATGATGACAGCTCTTTGGATCTCAGCTCAATATTATATCCACTCTCCAACAGTTAACTGTTGACTTTCAACACAGTTGTAAACATGGTTATACTACACTGTTTGTGTACTATACACATATAGAAAACATCAAAAAAATTCTGTTAAAAAATACAAATTTCTGGGTCTATTTACTAGAAAAGAGTGTATGAAATCATGAGATGTCAATGTTGTGTATTTTTCATATTTAAGAAACACTGATTTGCGTGGTTTCTGAAAATCCAAACTGGTAATCTATTTGAGACACCACCAGCTTTCAGGGGATGTATTTAATCAAAATGTTATTATTTGCAGGTTTCCTTCTAGCTTAGAAGACACCACCCTTGTTGTAATGTGCTATATTGGTGACTGGGTAGTTCTGGGGGCTTATGAGGAGATATAAAATCACAGTGAACCCAAGTGACCATTTCGAATCTAACCCAAGTAAGTACTGTTCTTTTGATCTTTGATCTTTTATCTGATCAAAGTAGCTATTTTTCATTTAGTCTTTACTCTGGTATCTATTTGATAAAAACATATGAGAAATTATTTGACTGTGTCACTGCAATTTGCCAGGCAGTTGTAAGAAATTGTCTCCCAAACTGATGTATTTATTCGGTAGCACCTGTGAAGGAGCTAGCAACTCAACAGGGACAGAAATCCTGTCATCATCAGTCAAAGAACTGACACACTCAAAGGAAAAGAATAAATACCCTGGGCTTTTTCCTGGTTTTCTTGCCTAAATAACAGCACTTCTTTGTTCAAATAACATCTGAGATCTTAGTTAAGCAGTGGAATGAAGGTGGCTTTATGTATCAAAGAGAAATGCAGGTGCTAGACATCTTCAGACAAGATGGAAATGCATGTATACCCGTGTATAGAGCACAGGAGGCTAATTTCAAGTCCTGGGAAAAACAAAATACCAGAGCCTCTAGCATTTCTGTGCCCCATCCCTGGCTGTCCAGGAATATGGCGCAACTTCAAGGTTAAAAATATGTTGATCATAAGATGAGGTTTCTCATTTGTCCTAAAAAGAACATTATTTTATTTACCTCATCACTGTTGACAGGATCACCATCAGGAAACAGTCAAGCCTTCTTCTCAATCCTTGCAAGAACTGTGGTGTTTATGTCAGCTTGAATTCTCTGTTGCCATAATTCAGAGACCTGTATCTCAACCCCTTCTTAAAACTGGAAAAGGGGGGCTCATGACTCAGTATGTTTCTTTGGTACCTTAAGAAGCTGCCAGGACCCTGCCCTCTGCACTGCCAGGAGGGGTAGACCCTCTGCCCTGAGTTTTGGTGCCTGAGCCCCTGGCACTGTCACCAGAGCCCCACCAAAAGCAGTGCCCCACTGCCCCACAGGGCAGGTTTGCCTCAGATGCAAATTTCCCAAGGACTGAAAATGACACTGAGCTGTCAACTCAGTGTCGACAGCTGTCCCAGGCTTGTTAGCCTCAAAGAATCCACATTTGGTGCAGTTTCCTTTTCTTACCTAATTCTCTTTAAGGGAGACAAACTGTAAGTGGATTAATATAAACAAAGAGCAAGTAGTCTGTGTAATATAAGAGCAAACATTATAGATTATGAGCGGAGGGACATGGCTCAAAAGGCAGCAATTCAGCAGCCAGTCAGAATCACCAACTAAATTTTTCTTTACTTACTTTAGGGTTTTTAGTGCCCTCTGGAAGGACATCAACAAGATTTAGACACAAGCATATCACTACTGTAATGAACACTGACAAAAAAAAATGAGAAATTGGAACTGGAAATGCATTTGCAATACTTCTTCTTTGGGAATTACTACCATAATTACACCAGTTTAGAAAGCAATACCTTTGTAAGTGCTTTTACCCCGTCATGTATCACACAAGGGATTATAGCATTTTAATGACCTTGGTGGCTAAATTGTACAATACCTATAATAGTATGAAATCTAGGAGAATTTTTGGCCCCATTGAGGCCATAGAAAATCTCCTACTGACTTCATTGGAGCCAGCAAAATCCATCCTAATTTTTCAGGTGTGACCAGCTCCAGTCACAAGAGGGGTTTATATTGCCCTCATACTCTTAAAATAAGTGTGAACTGGTACTTTTCATATACGTATGCTACAAATGCCCTGAATTTTATTTCATGAAAGATGTTATGACATGTAATACATTGTTTCTCCATGAAACATGCACCTTTTAATACCAGCTACTGAAAGGGTGATATATACATCGCTATTTCTCCTGTCACCAAATAAAATGAAATTCATAGACCTGCTCTTAGCTAATGTGATACATGTTTTATGGCTAAATAAGGCCTTGAAAATGAAAATCTTCTGTCCTTCTCATGAGGTACATAGATCCAAATTAAATGAGCAAGTTACATTAAGGCACCTACAAACCTTGAAAAAGGTGTATTGGCTTGTTCATTCTTCCTCTGGATAATAAACTCACTCGTCAAACATCTAGAGAGCAAGCCAAAGGAAGTGAACGTTGCCCTGCCTTAGCTTCCTTTATATGTTTTCAGTTTTCTGAAATTGGGCATATCTTCTGTAGATAGGACTATAAGAGATTGATAGATGCTTTAAGATCGGTTTGCGCATGAAAAGGTAATAATTGATCCCTGGCCACTTCATGAACCAGCATTTAGTGTGTTGTGCAACTTCAGAAATAAATCAGAATAACTACTTGAAAAATAAAAGGAGGTAAAAAAGCTCACTTTGCTTCAGCTTTAGGAAATATACGTTGTGTTAGAAAAGGTGTTAACTGACAACATGTTTTAACAGACATGGCAATAAATATGTCCAAGCTCCAACATTTTCTCCAGTGTGCAAACTGCCTTTGCAAGAGCCTGGAGAGATTCCCACTGGTCTCTGCAGGATTTGGCTTGAGCTCCTCTGCAGGAATTAGTTCGTGCCAGTGGAAGTAAATAGGCCCTTGGGAATGCTGCTGCTGCCACTGAGGTATTTATTTTTATAATAACTTGTTGGCCAGTGCAGGGGTAGGAAGTCACAACCACAGCTCCTGCATTTGAAACTCCACACCATTCATCCTTATCAGGTAGAGCCTTTGCAAAGATAGGAGTGATAAGAACTACAAACTTGAGGACCTGGCTACCAAACACCTCCTGGCTCCCGATGGCCACTTGCCATGCTTCTGGGAGCAGCTTCTTTCCCTGTGCTCTGCAGTGCCTGCTGGTGCCTCCCAGTAGCCAGCAAGCAAAGCCAACCCCTTGGACCACAGGGTAACGTATGATGAGGGCAACAGATCACGGGATTTTTTTGACTCATACGGAGCCAATAAAATGCATTTCTTAGGAAGGAGCCTCCCTCACTATTTACTATTTCCAGTGGCTGCTCACACTGTGTTATTATTCAACAATATTTTCTCTAGCTTGGCCCCTTCCTGGCTCACAGAGCCCAGCTCTGTTGGAGAAGCTCTTCTTCTAACCTCCAAAATTGTCACAAACAAATCAATCTGTTCTTACTTTCAAATCAGGTAGGAAACATGAGGGAAGCACAACTCCCTATTCACTGCCTTCAGGGAAAAGAGGGCAGATTGGTCAGTGACCACATTTCATCAGTCAAAGAAGAAACAGGATTATTCTCCTTCCCCTGCCAGACTCTGTCACTCAAAGAAAACTGAAACAGCAATAAGAGTGAAAGGGCCTGTGATAATGACACGGCACTTTCATATCATGCATGCTCTTTTATCAGCACTTACAGACTCATGAACACAGAGTGAAGCCCTGTAGAAGTGACTGGTTTTCGATTTTTTAAGAGTTGTTTTCCCACTTATTTCCTGTTTTCTTACCCAGCAGGCCCAACCACATCCAGAACCTAGATAATACTTGTGTCAGTATCTCTGCCAGCTTTGTTTAAACTCCCTTTTCTACACTTAAAACAAGCTTGAAGCTCCACTTATTCCCCTTCTGATACATAACTTAAGCAAAACTTGGCTTGAGGCCAACAATATCTATGAAAGGAGACATAAAGCTTGGGCAGAATAGGAAACAGGTAATTCTGCTGCTATTGCAAGTGCTGGAACATAGACGGAGAATTTTCTAATAACCTTCTCCAGCTGCCAGTTACTTGTTCAAAATGAAACACATATACTGTAGGAGGAAGAAGAGTGATGTGTTTCTAGGTTAAAAGTAATGTTGTCTGACATCTGTTTGCCACATGGTAGCCTTAACCAAAAATTTTCCCTCCTCCCAGCTGTTGCCTTGCTATGCACTCATTGGTTGCCTTCTCCACTCCAGTAGTGACTTTGAACCTACAGCATGATTCCAGAATCTGTAGGCTTTGTTTCATTTTCACCAAGTCTGATATTCCATTGGAATTCACCTGGGAAAGCAGTCAGAAAAAGTGACTGAGAGCTTCAAAACACAGTTCAGAGCATGAGAGTCCTCCATGTTCCGGTAGGAGCTGAACCCCTCTGCAGTAGGTGGCCTCCATAGAAAATCATGAGCCCCCTGAATATCCACCCAGCCACACAGCAAAGCCTAGGTTAGTGTTGGACAGCTGTAACACCTTCATGATTTGTGAACAAACATGAAAGGCCCCTGAATCCCAGAGTCCTAGCTCCCTCTCCTGGCAGAGCACCGTACCGGGAACAGAAACGGGGGCTGCACGGGGTGCTCCCCCGGCACAAGAAGCCTGAACCCCAGCTGCAGCTCAGCCAAGGGAGATGTGGAGGAACTGTGCCCTCAGTAATCAGGAGCTCCTCTCTGCAAGGAGCCCACTGGTAATCACACAGCTATAGCTTTACCAGCAGATTAATACAGGATTAGCAAAGTCAAAATCTATTCTGGTGAAGAACATCTGTGACATAGCTTTAGCTGAATAAAAAATATGTACTTGAGCACAGATAAAACTTCATTGCTGCGTATTATCTGCAGTTCTGAAAGTTGGGGGTAGTGCAGTTTATTCTCTAATATTCTGACACTAGGCTGACTTGTGCAACTGTGCCATCATTGCTCTCCAACACCACAGCCTTCTTCTGTGTGCTGTTTCCCATACATGCCGAGCCCACAGAGTGCCTCCCCAGACTGTTACTTACTCCTTGAGAAGCACACATCTGTGTAATGTACAAATACAGGAGGTCTCATTAGTAGTCTCCAGCCCTTCAAAAACATATATTTTGTTTCCATATGTGAAGGCACAGCTTATTGCCCCTCCATTCCAAGTAACATCCACAGCATCCCAGCTTGGTAAAAACACTCACTGTCACCAGTGGGCACAATGTCTGTGGCAGCACCAGAGGTGGAAGCGTGACACCTGCCATCATGGCCCAAGGTTGAGGCAAGGTCCTTCTTGGCCAGCAGCACGTGCCTCCAAGACTTCAGGGAACGAGCTGGCTCTTAACAGGGCAAAAGACAGCAGGGGCTCAGTGCAAGCACACAGGTCACTGAGAGTGACCCAACCTGCAAGTCGTGTACAGGTACATCTGTACCTGAAATTTGGCCATCTCAGCCACTGACCCTTAGCAACTTGTGTTGGGTACACCAGTGGTTTATTTCAGTAGAATTTTGATTCTGTTAATCTGTGTTTCCACACCGTGGGTGGCTGAAGTCCACTGAAAGCCTCCCTACCAAATGGGTGGGCTGGGATGGCAGGGAAAGAGCCTGTTGACATCTTGCTGTTTCTGTGGAGAAGATGGAAACAAGGTTTCCTGAACAAGCAAAACAACAAGTCTCTCTTAGGTGCTTACAGCAGCCTTTTTTTAGACAATTATTCGTGGGCTCTTTCAGTCTTTGGCAATGGGGTTACAGCTCTTGTTTATGAGAAGCAGAAGGCACCTCACAGATGTGCAAGCTGGTTTCTGATGTGGATATGTTTTCTTCTAGGTTTCACACCAGGGCAGTTTTCCCAAACCAATACTCTTCCACTTACTTCAGGACTCCCCTTCACTCTCCAGCATCAGCTACAGCTCCTGCTTAAATGGTAAGACCCTAAGTATGTTCTTAGAGGTCCATAAAGCAAAGCCAGAACTGCACAGAAGGTATTTAGTCAAGGCAAAGCTGTGGCTCATAAAATGTCTCATTGTCCCTATGTCCCATCTTGGTCATAGGAGACTTTCTGTATATTAATCAGAATTAAATTATTGTTTCTTCCTCAGGGAGGGAAAATGAGATATTGGAGAAGAGAGAGAAAGACAAAGGGAAAAGGATACTTCTGGATATTTCAAAGATGTCTAAACTTCACTTCCAGATTTCCCTGGCATGCTCATCAATTTCATGTTAAGAGTTATAAGCAACTTATTTTTTCATCTTCTCTCCAACCAGAGTAGGTAAGCAGTTTTAAATTTGAGAAGTAGTTTGTGGTCTCAAACAGAGAAAGGGAAGGTGTATCAGCAAGAACGAAAGTTTCCAGCATTGCAGAGCACTGGATGAAGTGGTGGTGTTAGCCCTGACCAGCAGCAATCCCAGGCAGAGCCCTTCCTCTGAACCTGACAGTCTGCATTTCCTGAATCAACAGGCCCAATGCAGGGTTTGCTCTCACCACCATTACTCATGTAAGAAGCTCTGAAGTTGTGTCAGGGAAGTGTTAGCTTGGGTATTAGGAAAAGGTTCTTCACCCAGAGGGTGATTTGGTACTGGAACAGGCTCCCCAGGGAGGTGGTCACAGCACCAAACCTGACAGAGTTCAAGAAGCATCTGGGTGACACTCTCAGGCACATGGTGTGACTCTTGGGGTGTCCTGTGCAGGGCCAGGTGTTGGACTTTGATGACCCCTGAGGGTCTCTTCCAAGTATTCTATGATTTTATGAATTTTTACCTGAGGGGGTGGTATGCATGCCCAGAGGCATGGATGGGAGACTGTAAATGGATACTAACTCTTTTTCTAATTATTATTTTGCAGAGCTATGCATCTACAAGTGGAACTGTCATTCTGCCTCCCAAGTACCTCTTCTGGAAGAGATCTTAAAATGTATTGTTTCATGTGAAAAAGCATTCATTGCTTTGCTCCCAGCTGCAGCTGATGTAGTAGGAGAGAGCTGCTCACTCTTAGTTTACAGACCAGTTTGGCCACACAGCTTGCTAGGTAAAGACAGGCCAGCACACTCAGATTGGTGCCAGGAATATTGCTGCTGATTGTGCTTACCAAACCATGTTATGTCAGCTGCATCCATGTCAGAGGAGCATGTGCAAGACCAGTTACAGCTAATAAGCCTCTATGTGAGGGAAAAAATGAGACCAGAGTGAGATTTATGACAATTTCAAGCACAGAATAAGCAGTATGAACAGATGAGCCTCAAAGAATGGTAAGGTCCTCTTTACGCACAAATATTTTTTGGGGGGAGGGGAGTGAAGAAGGAATAAAATCAGAAAATAATAGAATGAATTATAGCAAATACTCTTTCTAAGTAAAGTCGTTTTGCATTTCCCATGGGAGTCAGTTGAATGAGAGAAAACAAAAAAAATGAAAGAGTAGAAACTGCATGCAACACAGAACAAACCTTGAGTGCCAAGAACATGCTCCAGATTTTTTTAAAGATGCCTGGCTCTTATCTCAGCCTTGATTCATCACAGTTTACTCCCAGAATTACTCAGAATTCAAGGACCTTGCTCCTATGGGGTTAATGGGTTACATTCAGCATTGAAACCCATGACACAAATAGCTGCTTAATTATTCACTTGAAGACGGTTTTAGTGGCTAATCTGAATAAAAACAGCAACAGGAAAAATTACATTGTTTTACCTTCTGTAGGTGAAATGATTTTTTCTTTTAACTGTATAATCCAGGACTGTGCACAGGCAGGAGGGGACCCATATAAAGGAGGGGTTGTGCTGCTTCTGACACAAAAGATTAGCATGCTCATGACTGAAGAGGAGGAAAAGGAAAACACTGCCATAAAAGTGACAGTCGAGGTGAAGAATTGTGGTGAATGTGTAATGCACCACTGAAAAGATGCAGAAGAAAACATACCAAACTGGAAGTCTTATCATATCTATCCCGCTATTCCAAAGCACGAATTAATTTGAAAGGAAGAAGCTGCTGTTCTCGTTGGCTCACATAATTTGTTCATAAACACAGGCAAGAAGTATGCTAAAGTGATATGATTACCATAATTACTATTTTGTTCAAAAAATGCAGCGGTGGTTTTCCACCCTGAATTTCATTCAAGCAGCCATTGTGGCTGGTACCAGTCAGGAGGTAATGACACAGACTGCAGCTACTCCAGGAGTAAACACAGTAAATCTCATGCTTCAAATGCACCGGCCACACAGGATGTCAAAGCATATTGCAAATACAGGAGCAGGTATCAGCCAGTCCTGGTACAAGGAATTTGTGTGCAGTTAAGCACAGATACAGTGCCAAACCAATCCTGGCAGGCATATGTCGCTCCAATAGCAGGCAAAACCCTTTTAGAGTCAATGGGTCTAAATGTGGGGTTTTTGCAAAGGGTCAAACTTAGTATTTATTTAATTTAGCCCTGTTTTGAAAGCATGCTGTGCAACAGAGAGGAAATAGACATCCCAAAGCATCAAACAGGATCACTTTAAGCCCAAATCATCACTAAATGCAATGCTGCTGTGTACAGGGGATATCAAATTAAGGTGATCATTGCCAACCCCCATCAGCTTCCTGTCTTGCTGTAGCTTCCCAGGGGATGAACTACAGACAGGACTCTCCTGTAAAGCCCTGGTTAAACAGGTATCTGTTTGAGTTTGGATAGGGCTTAAAGCAAAGCAGGCTAAATGACTTGTTCAGTTGATGACACTTGGCAGTCCTGGTCACCAGTCTCTTGCCTTCTCACTCTGACTTGCTGTGCTAACTGGTCTGATGCAGGTGTGGTGGGAGTGTGTGTGTTAAGCCAAAACATTTTTCAACTTTAAAAAAAAAGAGATCTTTCATCTATAAAGTACCCAAGCCAGAGCTATTTAAAAGATTAAGTTTGGGTTCAAGTTCTGAGACACCTCCAGATTTCTATTCCTTCCTCCTATTCCTCACCCCATGATATTATTTCCTCATGTCATTGAAAAAGAGGGGAGCAAAAGGGGAAAAAATAATGGCAAAAATGTTAGAATAGCCATATTTTTGGTTTTGTCTCTTTCTTTAAACATTTGAAAAAGTTGATTTTTTAAAGCAGAGAAAAAGATTTAGGCTGTATACTTCGCATTTTTCTCTGTGATATTTCATACTGCTCACTGGTCAGATGAATGTTAGTGTTTGGATAAATTGGGAATAGAAGGATGGTAGTGTGTTCATAGAATTAATATAAGAATTGCATTGTCAAGCTTATGCTGGAGAAAAGCTAGAGGTGATCATTTTGTGTTTGGTACAGAAGATAAAGGGTTTCTTCCTGTGTGCCACTAGAAGTAAGGGATTGTTCTGCAAGTGACAGTGGAGGAAAGGGAGTTTTGTGCTTGTGTCACAGAAGGAAGAGGATTACTGTGCAAACGATGCTCAAGGAAAAGGATTAAACCGTGTATGACACAGAGAAGCGAAGTCTTTGTACAGACACCACAGAAGGAGCAGGGTGCTGTGGCACAGGCTGGGAAGGATTCTTTAAAAGTCAGAATGAAAATTAAAAAGAGAGGAGGACTATAATTTTGTGAATATGGCTGGAAGACAAGGTTTCTTATGAGCAAAAATAAGTAAACGAAGAAATGGTTGTACTCCTAAGTCAAGAAGTACTTGCCCATTCTACAACCAAGCACCTACATTTTTCAGACAAAACAGAGTGCAGTGCCACTCATTAGTTTAAAGGAATACACATACTTTGAGCAATAATTGAATGACGATATCTCAGAGAAATACTTTGTGATCTTGAACTCAACTCCCCTTCAGACAAGAAGCTGGATCCCTCTTAGATTTTTTTTTTAACTTATCCCTTTAAAGAAAAGTGCCTCAAAAATCACCATATCCTTCTCAAGAAATAAGGATATTGTTCACAAAGTAAACCACAGATGAGACTGGGTGCCACGTGCAAGCACTGCTGGTCTGCTGGGCGTGCAGTACTTTCCTTCTTGGTTAGGAATCCCAGCATCCTAGCTCTAAGATAGATGGTTCTTATCTACATATACATAGAGAAGCAGAGTAAGCCTAGGCAGATTTTTGTTGTTGCTGTTTCCT